CCTACGCGGCGCCGCGCCGCCCTCCGTCGACTGGGCGCGCCCGGCTCGTTCCCTGCGGTTCCGCTCCCGCCGCGCGTCACAAAGTCCGGCTTCTCAGTCCAAGCCGTTGGCTGCGGCAGCGCCACGACCCCGGCAGACCTGCTCTTGCCCGCCGGGCTCCGACCGGTCCCGGCTCTTCCCTCCGGGCGTCCGGGCCACCCTGGGGACGGCACTCTCTGGCCCAGGCCGGCAGCGTAGTCCCTGGAGCCTGCGATCTTCCTCTCTTCAGTCGCCGTTGGGAAAAGAAATAATAGCGCCGGAGCCACTCCTGCCTAAGCCCAGACACAATTTCCTCCATCCGTGGATCACGCATTTGTAAAAGTCAGAATGATTGGTCTGGGGAGACCAGTGCAGTATTTCCATTTGGGACAAAGCAAGTGTGCAGATTTGTGGTGGATTCCCCTTCTTTGAACTTTGGCCGAAAAGGCAAATTGTTCTGATGTCTCTGAGAATCTTCCACTTCCTTCAGCTGACCCATTTATTTTATTGACAGATACTGATCGAGTCGTGATTTTAAGCATGACGTTAGTCTGTCCTGTTTCCTGGGCACATCAAAAACTTGGACGGCTCTGGAAGAGAGGGGCAAGAAATGCAACATTTAGAGCCAAATGCCCTGCCTTTCAGGAGCTTACAGCTCAGTGGCGAATCTTAAAATAATTTATGCAATCATGAGAGGAGGTGGGTTCACAAAACTTATGGGTCGGCAGGTGAACTGGAAGATCTGCGATCTGCGGTGGAGGGGGTGGGGGAGAGGAGTGGTACGACTGGAGAGGAAATAAATCTTTGTGCCTTTCCCAAAGTCTTGCGCTGTGCAAAGGTTGGCTTGTATCCTTTATAGTTAAATCATTAATCAAGGGAGAAACGGATATATATATATTAATGATAAAAAATTGTATGAATAAGGACTATATATATATATAATAAATGGATATATACGTGTGTATATATGTATGTGTATATATATACACATACATGTATGTATATGTATATATATAATGTTTGATGTAAAATAGGACAGGGAGCTAAAGAACAAAGGGTTTTAAAAAAACTCTACTGGGTTTTATAAGTCACCTGATAATCAGAATACTGAAAAATTGGGGGATGTCCTTATTCGTACAATTTTTTACCATTCTTGGATTTAAATGATGGAAATGTTTCTCAATAATGTTAGTGAAGCTAATTTGCTGAAAATTATGATGATATGACTTTTTGTAACAGTGTACATTTATATTGGGCTTTTAAATCATGATGGTAATAAAGACAATAAAAACGTCTTTAGTTCCTACTTTGATCACATGTTTTAAGTGTGTAGTACATGAATTTATCTGTGACTGCAATATGTAGAGTTCTAGGGGTGTTCTATTGTTTCTATCAATTTCCACTAGTAGAAGGCAGGAAGCTCAATGTGCATATTGCAATCATCCGCTCATTTTTCGCAATCTAAGTGCTACTATTAAGTGCTACTATTTTTCCAAAGTTCACCCAATCGCTACATCCTCAAAGAACGGGTATTCTAGTTAATTGCTCTCTCTCTTCTCCAGTAAAGGAATAAAATAAATAGTAATTGAAATGTGACAAAATTATTGTGTGGAGAAGAGATCAGGGTGTGACTGGAGGTGTGGGGATGAAAGAATTCACTAGAGACAGAATGGAGAGCAGAACAGGTAAATTTATGAAAATACACTGCTAAGAGAAGCAGCAGATGAGACAAGTCTGCGTGTAAAGGATTTGAGGCTTTCTTTTATATTCTATTTTCTCAAACTTTCTAAGTCGAGGCACCAGTTTGCCTTTGACACAGAAACATGTTCTGACCTCTGCTTCTGCATTCCTGGAGCTGGACTGGATTTTTTGATCATGGTGATTGGTTTTATGAACTTGTCAACAAGTCTCCCTTCCCCATTCCCTGTTTCAGCCTCCCAAACCTGCCTGCTGGGTCAGGAGTGGGGAATTATTTTTCAACTGTATTCAGTTATACCCAGGCAATTAATATTTTCATGTGATTGCACAAAAGGAAAATTTTTAAAATCTTATTGAAAATTTACTAGAAAAGGGAGTCCAGCAAAATGGTGGATTAGTGGATTTACCTCCTCCTATTTATAACCAAATTACAGCTAAACAAAAGACAGTGACTCCCAGGTCATGAACAGACTGATATTGCATGCATCAAGAGGGAAAGGCTATGGAAAGGGATAGGGAAAATCTGTGTTTGGAGTGATAACAGGCAGTTCAACCCAAAAAAGGGAGAGGCGGCTGCTATATGGAGCCTCTCTGCAATAGTTGACTGAAGGATTCTTGCTCATACTGGCAACCTTAGAACCGAGGGACTGTACACAAGGGAGTATACAGATGGAGTAAATGTGATGAAGGGTATACCACTGCAGATTATAGTAAAATGCCCAATTTGTAGGTGGATGCCTGGAATCACATAGTAACTTCCCTTCCTGAGCAGGGAAGTTAAATGCCCTGCACCCCTAAAGTTGGAAGCTGAATGGATAATCTTGGTGATTGTTAGTAATGTGGAGATTGTCATCTACAGCTGAGGCTCCTAAGAGGGAGTAACTGGAGCCTACACTAAAGAGGAGGGCTACATCAGGTCATGTCCCTTACATAAGAGACTATCATCTATAACCTGCAGCTGTGTTGTGTGAAACATCTGCTTTATATCCATCTAGTCAGAGCCAAGGTAACAACATAGTGTTATACTGCCATTAACCAGAGTTCAAAGCACCGGAGTCCTAAACATCTAACA